TTCTGTAATTTACTCTTAGTGGCCTGAGGTATCAGGTAAACTAGAGTTAAATTATTCATATCTCGTTATTAAAGTGTGTTTGAAATAGCTTTATTTTAAAAGCAAACCCCTAAAGCTTTCAGTAGGTATGTTTTGATGATTTTTTTATTTGTTTAGGGGTTTTGTGGGGTTTGTTTGTTTGGTTTGTTTTTTTTAGGACAATTTGCTATTTTATTGTTTGGATACAAATTACTCAAATGGTTATTTGAAATTTGCGTATGAGACAGGCCTGCTTGTTTAAAAACCAAACCACCGTAATGTCCTGATAAATACACAAGTTTCACAAGCATCCTCGGTCGGTTGTGCGGACAGTCAAGTCTGAGAGGTCAAAAAGAGACGCTGTAAAGCTCACTGCTTCTCCAGCGTGCAGCGTGATGCTTTTGGTTGTCTCTCCCCTCATCTTTGCCCCCCCGTGACTGCCGTGGAGGGCCGGTGGCGGTGGGAGGGGAGGCCGTAGCGGTTTGTTTGCCGTGTCCCATCCGCGGAGCCGGCACGGGGACCTCTCGGGGCTGTGGTTTTGGTCTTGCAGAGTTACCTTGTCCTTCCAGGAGGAGCGTGCGTTACTGGGGGGTAGATTCACTACGGACTATAGGAAGGGTTGTGCATTTGTGGTTGTGATGGACTCTTCTCAAGTGCACAAGCATTTTTATTTTTTACTTCATTAACAGTAAAAGATAATTTGTTTTAAAAGATGGTTTTCTGGGATAGGGGTCTGGTAAGTCACTCCACTACATGTATAGTGTTTGGATTCTCCATTTCAACCCGACAGTGTCATGTCCCACCTCTGGTATGTTCAGTCTTTGGCTGGTCACTTGCTTTTACCGAGTTCATTAAGTTGATATTAAAAATTAATACTACATTTGTTTGAAAGTGTGTGTAGTGTTTGGAAATGCCTATTGTTGTGTTTTGTTTTGTCTTTAACTTACAGTCTGTGATAATGTTTGTTTTTAAAAAATAATTTTGGAAAAGCTGATTTTATTAACTGACTTTCTGGTTCCAGGAAAAAGAATAGGAGTTTTTCTGCTTGCCTTCATTGAGGCTAGAGTTTCATTCGTTGTGAACATATGAACCATTTTGATTCTTTACGAATAATTTCAAGCACAAGTATGTACGTCCTTCAGTGAAGTACTGTTTTCAGCGGGTCTTACGATAACTCTTCTAAAGCGGTTTGTTTGACCTCTAGTGTTGAGCTGTGAAATTGCACCCCACTGACCCCAAAATATCTTGCATTTCAGAAAAACCGGTCTCCCCCAAATCAGGTACATTGAAGAGTCCACCTAAAGGCTTCGATACGTCTGCGATTAACAAAAGCTATTACAATGTGGTGAGTGATCCTTTTTCCTCCACGTGAGCTGTTACAGACAGAACGTCATTTAACTAAATGCGCTTACCTGAACAAAAAATTTGGCGGTCTTGTCAGAGCCTCAGTGCCAGAACTGGATAGGAGCTGTAGTGAATTTGCAGATAAAGAAGGTCATTATTAGTTTAATAGAATATCACACATACGGATTCTTAAGCATGATGCAAAATTGTAGTCTAGAGTGAGTGAATAATAGGCATTTGTGTAATATATTATGCTCATTTTCTTTGCTTTGCTAGTTGTTAATTTCCCTTTTCTCCCCCGTCCCCCAAATGTGCAACCAGTCTTCCTCAATCTCTGTGCATTAATGAAATTCTGCTGTGTTAAAATGATTAAGAATATTTTTGTCTTTTTTGTTGAACACGAGATCGAGCATTTTGAAAGAATTTGCCTCCTTGGTATTCATGCTTATAAATCGACTCGGTTGCTAACTTTGGGAACCTCTCCCTTACGCTGCTGGGTAGATTTGACAGCAGGAGCAGTGTCGCCAGAGTCAGCCTTTAACACACCCCAGGAATTCTTGGCCTGCTGCTCGGACCTCTGTAGCAGACGCGTGTAAGAAAGGCACCAAACTCTGCCTTTAGACGTGGTGCTGTCACCATTTTGAGAATCCCTCATTTACGAACAGCAGGCGCCTTGGGGAGCAGAAAGCGTCGCACTGTTTGGTTAACCACTGCGCCCTGCTGGTGTGCAACCAAAACGCAGAGTGTCTTTCCCTTCTCTCTCAAGCAGCTGTCATTGTTTTTCTTTTTATTTGTCAGTTTTTAGCAGGGATCATAAAGCATGGGTTTATGCTTTCATCTTTTGGCAGTTGTGGCATGAATAACACCAACCACCTGGAAGCACAGAGCTGCTCTGCGTATAGTCCCCTAACTGAAAACAGCAAAGTGACCTCCTGCCCCCTCCAGCTTGCTTGGTGCCTCTGTGGGTAGCCCAAACTCCCTGGCAAAGGGAGGGCTGCAATTCTTTGGCTAGTATATCCCACACCTGCTAGTCACCATGGGAAGTACCTGTGCAGGCACACCTTCCTTCAGACTGCAGGCAGTAATGATCTTCCTGCGGTACATACATCCAGCAACAAAATATTGGATAGTTTTTCTTTTTGTTTTTGTTTTTCACTATTCCTCTTTGTAGTAATCTTTTTTTCCAAAGTAGCTGTCGTGTGTTGTAGCAAATACGTCTTCTCTATTGTTGTTTTGATGTTTAAATCTATGTTTTTCAATACAAGTAAACTGAAGTGAATGCGGCAAAGGAGAGGATTTAATTCCTTCACTAGGTAGAAGACTGCTCTTACTTAAGTTTAATCTGTATCTGTGTTGAATTTTTAGTCAAAATAAATTGACAGCTGTCTTGAACACCAGTCCTTTAGATATGGATTGGTTTGGGTGTTTTTTTGTTGCTGTTGTTGGTTTTGTTTTGGTTTTTTTTGGGGTGTGTTTTTTTTTTTTCCCCTAAGGTCAGTGGTAAATACGTGCCTCACATGTAATCTAATATTATTAGTTCCCTGATAGGTCACAATATGATGAAAACTAAGAGTTGCAGCTGTTTAATTTAGGCTTAACCAAAACTCCAGTTTGACTGTGTCCAAAATGAATTAGATCTTGTGGTTGCATATTTTACTTTGTAAGAGTAATACAGGCCATTTTTGAGGGTGATAGTGTACTTCAGTGAAAACAATAGAAAGTAAATGTTTGAATTTGCCTAAACCCATAGTTAAGGCAGCCGAGTTATTTCAAATTTGTATGGCCTTTTGAATCACCTTTGACTTGTGTGCTTTTTATAATTGTTCCCTGGATGACCTGTTATCGTAACAATGGAAACTCAAGTTACTATATACTTCGGGAAACAGATGGCAGTAGCTGGCTTTTCAAGTAGTTTAATAAAAAAAAAAAGGTGAAACTAGTGGCTGTCATACCTGCTCTTGAATTAGGTTATTGTTCATCTTGCTTAGGTGCAACTTTGTGGGTGCACTGAACTGTTGTAGTAAGATTCCCACTGGTTTGACTGCCAGCTATTTGTTAACTGTTGATGATATATTGGGGGTGGGGGGGTGGAAATGACCAGTTTGTAATAATATATACAGTAAGATAGAGCACTGGCCCTGGAGTGGTGATCTTAAATCTGTCTGCAGTGAATTGGATAATTGTCTTGGTTTCACGTTTTTATTTTTTTTGTTTAAAGAATGAGAGGCTGCACTGTAGCATGTACTTTCTTTCAGAGAAGTAAGACTTTACTGCTGTGCTTAAAACCTAAATTAGACATGCTGGCATCTAGATTTTCTTGAAAAATACTAAGTGCTTCCGATGGCAATATCGCTATAAAATAATTATTAAAATAATTATTAAATATGTAATGACTTTTACAAGTAGGTAAGACAAACAGCAAACCCATTCACTGAAGTGAAAGCAGTTTAACCTGTGAGTTGAGGTTTTGTTCTGTCTTAATATGTAAGATCCAGACACGAGACTTCCCTGTGCTGGGAGTCGTCTGATCGTCAGTCTGCACTGCTAACAAATTGAGGCCATACTAAGGTAAAAACAGAACAGCTCCAAATAAACCTTTGGCAACTGGTAGCTAAAAGGATGTAGCTCGAGTTAGAGTAAGCATTAAAGTCTGTGATAAAGGCTCTCTTGACAACCAAGCATGACTTGAGGCTGGTACTGTGGGACTGCTTGCTATTTTTAAATTGTGGCGATCTTCCACCATATGGGTATGTGCTGAGACCCTGTAAACCTCATGATTATTTATGACTGTTTTTCCTAGGGAAGGATTTGTGCAGGTGCAGGCAGCACCCGTGGGTATGTTCGTTGCACTGAGGACAAAATGAAAGGGCAGTTCAGAGGCAGTTCAGAAGGTGGTAGGTGAGGTTCTGCAAATCTGCCTCCTGGGAGAAGGGCTGGGGTAGGCTACGGGTAAGGTGCTTAGTGTACGGAGGAGACTGCTTTCACCGCTTTCCTCTGTTCTTGAACCCCTTGTAAATGGGTTCTTTATTTTTGTGGATTCACAGAGCTCCGTCTGAAGTTCATAACACAAATCACATACTTTCTAGTCTCAGTGTGCTTTATGAGCTGTTCTTGCGCTAGGTGTTACTGAGAAGACAGAGCACATTTCGTTTATGCTTACGTTTTGCCTGGCTCGGGAATGCAGGTTAGTAGAGAATGACTAGTGCTACAAGGTTTTGTCCTCCAAGAAATGGTACAAGTCTGCAGCAGTGTGTAGTATGAACCAGACTTGTGATCAAGCACGAAGCGTTTTTCATGTAGAAGTAGTTTAGTAACCTGTTACTGAGCAAGTGGGCATGTTATTGCAGGTTATTTCCTGAAGACGGAGCAGGTGTTACTCTGAGTTTTATTTTCACTTGAGATACCTCGAGAATTTAAAACTTTGTGTCCAAAATAAAATTAGATTATCTCCACTTACAGGACAATTGCCTTGAGGTTAAGTAGCTCTTTCAAAAGCAAGTAAAGAAATGGGCAAATTTCTCCATAGTATGAGTATTTGGATGACCTCATTTTTCATTTAAGTGTTTGAGAAGTGTTGGAAAGTAAGTGCTCCTTTTGGGCCACACTTTTGCAGTTGGGTCAAGAGTTTGTGTTTACTGAAGTTCATAAAAGTTTTTGAGGACCCTTGAGATATGGTACACTTGTGTGGTGCTTTACGTTGCCCCTCTCGAGTGCCTGTTTTAAGGGGTTCATCTCTCAGATTCTCACGATCCAGGAAAATTAGGCATTGATCACCATTTTGCTGAAGTATGTGATATTTCAGTTGAGTGCCATACTGCTCCCATAAAATGGGAATGTGCTACAGGATCATGCCCAAGGGTAGCTGTGAAATCTACCTTTTCTCCCTCTGATTTGGAAAGCGATCAGCTTCATGTAGGTCATTTTAAATCCATTTTGGGGTGGTAGTTTTTGCCTTAGGGAGGCGACTCGGGTTTTGTGTGACGGAATTGTTAACCACGCTTGAATTTTCCATGCCGTGTGATTGAGAGAGCTTGTGCTGTATGAGCTCTGTTGTCTGTGCCTGCCATTCATCAGTGTTACGGACTGCAAAGGCTGCCACTTCAATGCTGCTCTTTTGGTACCCGGTCTTATCTGTGCAAATGTTGTGGTGGCGTTGGGGAAACAAGGTCTTCGAGGTCTCATGGGGTCTTGCAGCAGCCAGAACGCGCAGAAAGCAGGAAAGGGAAGAAAGGTGATTATTGAACATGCGGGCAGGCTGTGGCTACAAGGAATGCAAGGGTGCTCTGGTGCCAAAATACTGAGTTGCAATACTGACTACTTATCGCTTCAAAGCACAGTCTAAGCATTTAATCCTCATAGCTTCTTGGTGAGGTAGGTAAGTCAAGCTGGAAGGATGCGAGACTGCACAGAACTGATGTTTTAGAGCTATGTAAGCAAAATTACTCTTTTTTTTTAAAAAGATATTCAGAGAGAAGAATGTTGTGCGCATTGGAATCAAGCTGGAAGGATGCGAGACTGCACAGAACTGATGTTTTAGAGCTATGTAAGCAAAATTACTCTTTTTTTTTTTTAAAAGATATTCAGAGAAAAGAATGTTGTGTGCATTGGAAACTTTTTTTTTTAAAAAAAGGAAATAGATTAGATAGATTTAATGTGTTTTGGGAGTGTTTAAAACTATGTGTGTATCTAAAGTATGGTGTAACACTGAACTAGAATAACATAAAGCAGTATATCTTGGATTCTCCATAGTTTTATTTACAGTTGCATTTATTTTCCTTTCTCCAGTAACTTATCAGGTTGCTAATTCTTGCTAATTCTAGTTCTTAAGTTCTTAAGCTTTCCCATTTTTTTTTTCCTTCTTTAAGTCTTTTTTCCTCCAATCCCATATTCTCCGTATTGCAAAGAAAATCCTCATGAAAATCTGAACCAGCACAGGAAAACTATGGAGTTGTGTCCAACGTCAAACTAGTTTTATTTCAAAACTTGTTTATAGCAAAGAATGGAAAAACTCTTTGAGAAAGTGGAGCGGTGGTGCCGCTTTTCAAGATGTATAGCAAACTTGTTGATTTTTATCTTTGTCTTTTAATGCTGTTCAGTGCTTCATCAGGACACTATGTTTTTGTCCTTGGCTTTCAGTCTCCCGTTTCCCTACTAATGGCTGTGTAATGACTTTGAACTGGGAGATTTTTGTAGCAAAAGCCATATTTGAAAAGATTCGTCTTGCATTTAGTTTTGAACCTCATGGATGCTAAGTACTTTTATATTTCCATTTTAGCAATTGACTTACTTTGTTTTATATATGTGTAAGAGAATATGGAGTTCAATTAGTACTATGATTAATGCAAATGTTTGTC